CCCTTGAGGAAGTGGGCGGAGCTTCACCTCGGGTTGCCTCGTGAGGAGCAGGACTCTTGTTTAGGTTGCTAGGTGACTGTTATTGTGACGTCAGAATAACGTGCTTTGAGAAATACCATGTTTCCAGATACCTAAAAATACATGTAATTACAGCTAAAAAATGACTGGGTGCCTTTTTTTGTGTTTAGACTGCTTCTCTAAGCAGTGGAGACCCAAAAGTAAGTTTAAAAACATGAAAAAAGTGAGTTTTGCATAATAAGTGCCCTTTAATGGATTACTTTTTTTGCACTTGACGATTAATACAATTAATGCCACCTGGCAGAGTCCGCTCAGTGCTCCTCTCTGCTTCAGATATGATGAACATAAAAAAAGTTCTGTAATTTATTTATCTATCAGCACAATTTATTATTTGATGAAGATTTGCCTGAAGAGCAAATCTTTCCCACTAAATTGGTCATAAAACCAGGACAAGGGTGTCCAGGGACTCCAGGGCATTGATCGTCAAATTAATCATTATCAGCTAAATACCGTAATAATCGTGATTATTTTATTTGCCAATATTGCCCAACCCTAGTATGATGTCATAATTTCCTGATATCGGGCCAATGACTATCGTGCACCCCTACTTTCGCCATGTTGGTGTATCTCTTATTTCAAATAATATGTCTTCCTGGTGACATCACTGCAAACGTGCTATTAAAAACATTAAAAATCTGATTTGAACGTGTTTTGTTTTTTCCTTACAGCTCCCCAGCAGCAAGTCATTGTTAAGGATAATATTCTGCAGCACATGGGTGCAGCAGGGTTGGTGAGTAGATTCTTGGCACATAAAACGGGACTAAATTGCTTTGAGGTTTTGTAGTTATCAAACGGTGACAGCTTGCACATTACTGCTTTCAAAATTCTTTAAAAGTTTTGTGCACTCAAACCACTTTTCATACGTGGTTTTTCTATGTTTGCTCCTTAAAGTGTGTCAGAAAACAGGTGAGTTCAGTTGAACAAATGTTAGATGCATCACACCAGCTGGGATAAGCTGAACATTATAACTGTGAGGAGTGTGTGTTTGGCTCTGTAGGAGCATTAATGTGTGTGTTCCACTTTCCTCCTCTAGAGTGCAGCAGCCACCACAGCAACTCTGGCTTTGCCCACGGGGGTCGGGCCGTACCAGCATGTCCTCACCAATCCAGGTAAGACCCTCCCTCTGGCTGCCCTGTGCCGAAATGTCAGGAAATATTTGTCTCTAAACAGCCAGGGAGAGAAAATAATCCTCTTTGACTGCTCCACATTGTTTTGACTTTTAATGTGGGACAATTCGAGTTGTTGCAATCACATCTTTATTGTTTTTTTTTTTTTTTGGACTCAGGTCAGTTTGTGCAGTTGCTGCGTGGCGCCAACGGGACTCAGTACATCATCCAGCAGCCACAGCAGCCCATCGTGTTGCACCAGCCCATGCAGTCTGGGGGAGTGCAGGCGCCGGTTATACAGCAGGTATTGCCCCAACACAGAGTAC